ATGGTGGGTGGTGCCATCTGTGGGCAGGTAGTCCTGGGTTCTATAAGAAAGGTGAACTAAACAAGCCAGGGGTTGCAAGACAGTAATCAGCTCCCCTCCATGGCCTCTGCATTAGCTCCTTTCACTGGGATCCTGCTCTGTTTGAATAACTGTCCTGACTTCCCTCAGTGATGAAAAGCAATGCTGAAGTGTAAGACAAATTTGCTTCCCAACTTGACTTTAGACCATCATGTTTCATCACATCAAGAGAAACCCTAAATAAGACAACAGTTTTGTCTTGTTTAAGTTACTTAAAACAAAACAAAATATTTTGTATACAAATAAAATAAAATCTTAGTCAAGAACCATCAACTGATACCTACTTAATTTTATATCTTCATAGGTAACTTATGAATATATAAAAAGGACTTTCTTCCCAGCCATGATTACTCTTGGGACAGATGCTAACAGGAGCCCCAGAAGTCATTCTTACAGGCTGTTCTTAAATGCTGGGTACTCTAGGGGATTGGTGTAGGTATAAGTGTTTTCTATTCCTAATAAGCACAATGCATATGTCATCTTCTTCAGGACACTGATAGTTTGTTCTATTAGATGAACATTGATAATCCCCTTGAGAGAAATGATAATTCATTTTTGACTCTAATGTGTATAAGAAAGCAGGAGGCTCTTCTTTGAACATCATAGTAATTAACTGTTATATAAAAAAGAAACCAAGAAATTTCTAAGAATTTCCCTTTCTGTGCAGGACCTAGGTAAGTGCCGGGTTCATTTATAGCAAGTCTGCTAAAGGCACAGTTGGCATACCAACCATTTTCACTCACATGCAGTAGCTCAACTTTACCTGGAAGTATTTGTTTCAGTATTGTCTCCAGCAGACAATGTCTTCCTGTCTCTTCTCCTGTCATCCTTTCTCGTTAACTTTTTATAACTATGTCACAGAATCAGAAGGAATGAACCCCAGGCCAAATTTAACCAGCTGTGGTACAGAGAACCTCACTGGGGTTTTAACTACTCTAAGCTTTTTATTGCCTTCAACACTTCTGTGAGATATATGGACTATTGCCTCTGTATCTTGTTCATTAACCTACACATATCCCCCAGAGAAAGGAAGCAAGGGTAAATCACTCTTAAATATGACATTCCTGGGTAAACATAACTTTTGGCTCCCTTGCTAATGTTAAATAGTCATCTCAGACCATGAGGAGAGGGATCTTTAATCCATCTACCCCAAACAGTCTTTCTTTGTTTCCCCCTGGTTTCAGAAGCTCCAGGCAGTACCCTTTGTGAAGTAAAGATTATTCAGTATGACAACTTCTCTCAGGCCTCCAGAACACTGCTTGCTACTTCTGTCCTTACTCTGAAATTCCAAAATTAGGAAATGTTTAAAATCCAAACAGACTAAAATGTTAATATATTTTCATCATTCTCATTTAGGTGAAGAGTATAAAATGAAGAAAAAAATACACAAATCAATAGTCCCCATTTTCAGCTGGTATATTTTCACCTATCCACATTGTATGACCACATTCAAGTTTTTTATTGTGTAGGAAATAATGATTATTGTTTATATGTTGAATATTTACATTGTTGGTTTTGGTTGGTCTTAGGGACTCTTAGAAAGTTAGTGTCATACACATTTCCTATTAAAACTTATTCAATCACTTGTCAAAAGATTTATACTTTTGACAGATCAGCAATGAAGTTAAACATCTGCTGATGCTGAATCTATCTATAATTTCAGTTTTTTAACCTAATAATTCGCCTTTTTGTTTTCTAAAAGATATGGGAGATACAGAGAATATGAAATTAGACAGCTTTATTTCCAGTGGACAACTTAGTGATTTCAATACACACGTGTTCACTCTGACTGTCAAAGCAAAATATGGAAATGCTCATAAAGCATCTTGAGTACCTGTCTGTTTGTGTTGTCTTTTGTCTTCTCAGATCATCTTTAGACAACTGTGTGGAATCTGTACCTCAAGCTGTCCACAAGAGAGACACTTTGGGAGGTTATTTAGTATCCCTGTTGATAAGCTCTGTTAAAGCCAGAAATATCTTATTCCCTTATCTGTTTTTCCCAAACCAAATTTTCTCCAAATTAGATAAAATTCTAGGACAAAGTACTCTTTGCTGCGATCATTCTCTTGCTGTGTTAAGCTGTTTATGGGAGCTCCATTCTTGGGTAGATCACTGCTAGGGGACTCCTTGCCCCTACTCTTGCACATCATCTAGAATTCCCTTTATGGGAAGTTTTAGAAATCTGAACCATGATGGGGGAAATACTTCTGTGTATGTTTATCTTATTGATTGTTAAATAAAGTACTTGCTTGAGACAGCAAGTTAGGCTGGACTAGGAGTCAAAGAGGATTCTGGGAAATGTAGTAGAGAAGTGGTGTTCCAGGCAGGAAGTGACATAGCTAGGAGACTCATATTTAAGAAGAGGAAAAAGGAAGTGTCGCTCTCTTTTCCTGTTCCTGTTCCAGTGGCGGGATGTGATTCACCAGCAAAGAGGGACGCCAATAAGGCGTCCGATAAGATAAGTCTCATAAAATATATAGATGTATGATAATTGAGACTGAGCTAACAGATGAGAATCCTAGTCATTGGCCAAGCAGCTTTGTAACTAATACAAGTCTCTCTGTGTATTCATTTGGGCCTAACTCGGGCGGGCAGTTGGCGTAAGGTCACATATGGCAGTGGGGCTCAAGCAGCTTTTGGTGGATAGATTTATCGTAACAGAACCATCCTTTCACTCTGAAAAGATTCATATTAGCAATCACTCTTTGTGTCAGGTTTGTGATAATTCATATGACAAATGTCAGTAAAATACCAACCATGACTTACATAAATTGGTGAAAGGATTGTTCTCAAGCTGTATACTCAGGACTCAAATCCCAAACACTCAAATCATTTGATCCTGGATTTCTATATCAGAAATGAATAACTCTTTAAGTTTTATATTTGAGAATTCAATGTCATAATGTAGGTAAAGCACATGGAAACATGTAATGTTTGAAGAAGAAGGAAGTAGGAAAGAGGGAGGTGTAGAAGCAGAGGGGATGTGTGGAGGTTACTGGTTATTTCCAGTTGCTCCTTATAACTGTACCCCAACAACACACTCTGTCATTCAAACTGGCTCCATCCAAAAAACATTCATACTTTAAAAAACTGTAAAACCAATGATTCCTGATGTTTCTTGAGGGAAGAAATAAAACATGGGTTTTTTTTCTTCAGATTCAGGGTCAAAAGCACTGTGGGACTCAATTACTAGAATGACCAAAGTTATAGTAATAGAAGTCATCCTAGTATGTTCAACAGCAAATGCTCCTGTCTCATAATGACTATCAGATTGACACCCTTGAGAATGGCTAAGCAGGAGAAACTCTATATCCCAGGTGTCTGTTCCACCAGAGTGCAGTGGGGAAACAGCTGTGTCTTCAGTTTTTAACAGCATCATAGGGATCCAGGAGGAGTTGCTTATGCATTCTTTTGTTTGTTTGTTTGTTTACTACATTAGGAACATGGTTCTATTTCTGGAGAACAAACAGCACCACTTTCCTGGGAGATACTCTCCTTTGTCCCAAGTCTCTGTGTTTACCTGCAGGGCAGGTGACTTCCTAGTGGAGAGTGGGAAAGAAGGCTTCTTCTCCTCTGCTTTACCGTCCCCTCCTCCAAGGAATCCCAGTTTCTCCTTGGCATCCAGCGTGCAGCCTTACTTTAGGGAAATGGAGTCTGAGCAAGCACTGCTCTGAACTGGCCTTTGCCAACAGGAGACACTTGACACTGCCCAGTGGCTGCACACACTGGGGAAGGGGTTGCAGAACATCACAGTTACAAGGCCGCAGATTTGAGCTTGGACTCCAATCCCGATGGCAGGGCTCAGGTAAGGGATCACCATGGCCTGCTTCCTCCTCTGAACACAGGGCCACGATGCTGCAGGCAGCCATGTGGTAGCCCTCCCGACTGAAGGCAGGAAACTTGTGTGGACTGGTCCAACTCAGGGCCTCACCAGGACCATCTTTGCTCTTCATGTCCACAAACATTGTCACGTCCTTTCCTTTCAGCAGAGCCCAGAGTCTGCTTTCCCCAATTGCTACCCAAAGCCAACCAGCTTCTTCATCATGAAGGCTGTTGCACTCAGTTCTCCCCATTAGAGTCTCCTCAGTACCAGCTAGAGGAAGACTAGTGGGCATTTGCTTCCCAGACTCACCATTTATACCCCAAAGGGAAGCCTGCTCCCTGGGTTAGCTCAGCTGCCAGCTAGCTGTCCTGCAGCCTGGGACTGACATTCCTTGGCCAGCTCTCCCTGGTCCTTCACTGTCCTGTTCTCCTGTGGTTGCTATAGGCCCCACTGTTTCTCTGGCTTTTCCAATGAGAACTAGGGATAGGCACAAACTCCAAGAGTTCTCTACTCTGGATCTAGGAGTTTAGCTGAAGGATGGAAAAGGGGACAGCTATCCAGAGGCAAAGGGCACTAGCAGAGGTCACAGGCTATTCCTCAGGAGGTTGAGGTAGGGAGGGCAGTCTTGAGGGAGCAGTGTCTGCCAGATCTTCGGTAGTTGTGGTCCATAGGCCAGCTTCTTGCTATTCTTTGAACATGTCAGGAGGCACTCTTGGTTTGTCAGGTACATGCAGCTTCTCACACTTGGCTCTGTCTAAGGATGCCTGTGGTTTGGCCTCTAGCCTCCTGTGTAGATCAGCAATGCAGTCTGCATTCAGGTTACCACCCAGAGCTGTGGGAAGGAACCTACAGCACCAATGACTAGTTGCCCACTGGTTCCAGGGCACCTGTAAAGGTCAAGAAGTTTGTCCTACCTTAGCATTAGCCTTCTGTGCCTACAATGTCCTGCCAAGGCTGTACTCTGAGGCCACACTGAGGTGCTGTCATCACACTCTGCTCACCGTGTTCTACACTCCAAAGATGGTAAAATTCAGCGAAATCCACATAGGGCTCAACTTGCACATCGTCACAGGGTGGAAGTGAGTGAGCAGGTCTGGAGCAGAGGAGACTCCCATCAGAGCTGGAGCTGATGCTCTGCCTGTGTGTGTGTGTTGGTGGACTGGAGGGGCAGAGTGGGGCTCTGGTTAGTGAGGATAGAAGTGGCTTTGTCCAGGGTGGAGGAACTGTGGGAACCATTGATCATCTGGCCCCGAGAAGGCATGACGAGGGAGAACTTCACACTGGTCTTGCTGGTGTTCTGGGCACTTGAGTAGGGCACAGAAACAGGGTACACACGCCCCCCTGGGACTGGGGTTGGTGTAGGCTGGCTCATTTCACCCAATGGGTAGCCAAAGTTCCTCACCATCAGGGTCATGTCTTCAAGCTGCGGGCATAACTTGGCACACTCCCCACCACTGGCAAAGATATCACAGTGGATATACTTTATACGGTCCATCACAGCCTCGGCCACTATATCCAGGGAGGTCTGCTTAGCAAATTCGATGTCAATCATTGCTGCAATCTCCTCGTTGGCCTGTCCTGGCCCATGGGCTGCCTCCAGGGCCTTGTAGAGTCCCTCAGACATCAGCACCAGGAAGCCGTAATGCCATCCAGCGGCTGGGCGCCATGGATTTCTGGCTCTGCGATGATGGATTTGGCCTTGGCAACACTGAGCAGGTCGATGTCAGTGTAGCCATATTTGACTCTGTAATCACCGATGTGCCTGGTGTTCTCCTGTCCATAGATGATGCCCACCTGCTTGAACTTTCCTGCATCCAAGCCAACATTGGCGACATAGAGCTTGTTGAGAAGGGCTGCCACAATGGCCATGGCCCCTCCCGAAATCTCCCTCTCCAGTGCCTTGAGTCTCTCAAGTGAAGGGACCAGCTCCCCTTTTGGCAGTCATAGTGGCCGAACATGTTAGACCCCCAGAAAACTCAAGTATCCGGGGTCCCAGGCCACGTTCGCCGTCACCCCAATTACCAGGCGGATTCGAGAGCTTGCTGCTAACCCCATGTTAGTTCGGGTCTTTCACCCACCCGCTATGGCAGATGGCTAGAAAAGACGGCTCCTAGGGGCTCCCGAGAGATCTTATAGGACAGCGTAGGGGTAGTGTCTAGGGGTACACACAGGCTCAGGATTGGTGTGCCTCTAGGCTTAGAGGGCTTGCCCTGTGTTGATTGGTCAACTGGTTGTTATGGCCCATAGGCCCTCCCAGGGTGGTTGCTATGCTCTCTACATCATTGCTGTGTGCTTGTCCGTAAAGCACACCCAGGGTCGTAAAGCATAG